ATAAACATTTGTATTCAGGCCAAAGTTTGACAAGTTTGTCCTCTAAAATTGCCTCGGCCAGCAATTCATTTTGCGCCGCCATCTTGGATGTTTACTTTAGTATACTACGCATGCGCTGTTACGACAATCCGTAAGCAGATAGCTTTCGTTCGCCGCAGACGGAAAGATTTTGGCACGCGAGGCAGAAATTATCAAACATGTTAGATATTTGGCGTAAGTGGCACGAATGACAAAAGCCGTTCGTAAATCGCCCGCACACGAGAGCTATCTCCTTACGCCAACAGTCACGAATGACATTTTGCTAAGCACATAGCTCTAGTGTGCGCCGGCCTTAACATGCCAGATGTAATTGAGGGACGCCACGAATATGCTAACTGGTTCTTAGAAGAGGCGAATATTCATCATCCTGTTTTCATCAACGAATGTGGTTTCAATATCTGGACAGCCAGACGTTAAGGACGGGCTCGCGTTGGAGAGCGTGCTTATCGCCAGGTGTGCGGACAAAAGGGACGCAACCTTACCATTTGCCTGGCGCTATCTCAAGTCTTTTGTTTGGTGCATCACACCATTCAGATGGGTGGGATGACCAATGATTCCTTCGCTAAGTTTCTCGCAGGTACTGCTACCCACCTTGATGAAAATGAAACTCGATATCTCATTTTCGATGGAGCACCAGCACATCGCCGACCCGAGCAACCTGGAGACAACGTATATATGCGTATATTGCCACCATACTCACCATTCCTAAATATTGTCGAGCAAGCTATAAGGCTGAAGGCCAGCATCAAGGCAGATATTTCATGCCCTGCTATACAAGAACGCTTTGCCGAAAGAAATGCGGCAAGAAATGCCCACCTTCCCCTTTGTGAATACAGAAAACAATTGCTTGTTCAGGCTGTTGAAAGAAATATCGGATAAAGTACAAATCCCAAATGTGCAGCTTGGTTTTGGCATATGCAGACCTATATTCAGGGACGCCGGAACGATCATAAGGCAAAGGGGGGCGGACCCACAGCAAGGGCACTTCTCTAAAGCAAAACTTTAAAATCTTCCGCATTTTTTTTTTATCAAAAAATTTCGGCGCCCCCCCCCCGTCGCCAAAAAAATTTCGGCCAGTGTACCATTTTAGGGGTCAAAAATTTTTTCCGGACATACCATAAGTGAAATATAAACTGTAAATTAAAATAGGACAACTGTCAAAATTACTGCACACGCGAGTGCATAAAACAAAATTTATGCATTTATTTAATGACACTTAATAAGTTTTTATTTTACAAGTACAGTACAACAACAGTAATATGATCTATTAGCAATTCGATTTCAATTCGCGGGGGCCTAAAATATTTTATGCTTAAGAATTGCAAAGTGGATTTCTTAGGAAATTCCAAGGTATACGGGCGGAGGTATGCAGTCTCTGAGTGCCCTCTAGTTCAATCCTGTTTTCATCAGTATTGCAACAACCGGAACGTTTTTACGCGTGTAGTTAACACCTGAACAGCGACAGGCACTCATTATAGGGTAGTTCTCTTCAGCTCAGAATTTTAAAGAAAATGCTGACTTTTGGTGGTGCTTTTGTAAAGCATACAGAGTGCAAATATCATGTTTTCATATAAAAGTTTACATGTAAGTTGGAAGTATTTTATTAAGCCTAAATTGGTATAAACTATTGCCATCTGTGCCAAAAGCCATCTACAAAAAGCCATTAATTTTAATAATTACGATAACTTAGCCATTAACCTTAAACATTAACGATAATTGTATTTTTGTGTCATACTTTGGGTGTCAAATCAATCATTTATCCAATGATTCTATATACCGATAGATCTAGAACACGTTTATGAAATATCTTGATAAAAAAGTCCAGATGAAATTTTGTCATTTTGTAGTCTCACTGTAAGTTGTTAAGGTACGAAACAATTAATGCGCGCCTATAACAATTTTGTTTTAAACCTAATCCGTAGCTACTCTACTAGTTCATTAATTTTGAACAGCACTTTCAGGATGCATGGCGTCAGTAAAACAAACTGGTCCATTAATGTGTCAAAGCTGTGAACATCTGCAGGTCTTTGCAAGCCAAGTATGCTGCTCTATAAAAGCCAGGCTGAACATTCAACATTTCATTGTGCTCAAAAGTGAACAGTAAAACATTCTGCTAAATACAAAGTTGGTGTTGAAGAAGCGTTCGAGAAGCTGAACTCCTGCAAAAGTCATGAAGAATTTCTTGGTCATCTTGCTTGTGTTATCCACCATGACCCTGTGCTTGGCGAAGCCGAAATGGATATGGTTCGATGACGAAGAGAAGAATGGTGGAAATTTCAACGATGAAGTCTTGACAAGAGAAAATAGAAATAATAAAGGGATTCTGAAGAAACATTGCGACCCCCCGGGACCACACTGTCTCTTGAAAACACAGTAATAACACTATATAACTTTAATTAAACTACTATATATTAACATCATATTCATGATACTGATAATATATGTGTACGTCAAATACTTTTTTGTGAGTACTATTTTTTTTCAATTTTTCTTTGCTCATTCCCAGGCCAAGTACTGGTGCCGCGGCGAGCCTTAAGCGAGCGACCGTTTCTATAAGATTCGCTTCAAACTTTGCACTTTTATAATTTCCATTATTTTCTCTTCAGCTAAAACAGTCGACGTTTTCACCTACAATAACGATCTGAAAATGGGCCGCTACTGCGCAAAGAAAGGCCAGTTTTGACAATCTAATTAATTTGCAAAAGAACAGGAGCTACACACTACGAAAGTTCTTTTCAGAATCCGTTTTCTTAAGTTTATTAATATTTAAACACTAATCTATACCCTAATCTTGACTATACTTGATCTGTGGATACTTTAAATTCAAAATTATCGTCTGAACATGCATGTCTATTGGTCAGCAGTGGTCGTTTTGAAATATAGCATGTATTTTGATTTTATAACACTAAAATGCAACAGATATAGCATGCCATCATATCTCTTGTCACATCGGTTGATCAGTGTTGGGAGGAAATAGGTAGCTCTTTCAACTCAGAGTGCATTTCACTTCTTTTCAGACATAGTCGACGCGGCTCTTTCTCTTCGACTTTTCAAGGGGAACGTGTT